TGAGATGTTGTCGTGCCTTCCAGCTGGTTCCAAATACCAAATGCTTCGAGTGGACGTTGGCAAAAGTGGCATGTGTACTTCCATCCATCAGGGGTATAACACAGCTGGTAGAAACCATCGGGCTTAAACTCTCGCTTCGATGGACCGTCCATCATGAGCGATAGACCGTCTATCATAGACGTAGCGTTTCAAAAAGCTAAGAACGAAGTCCCTAACGCAGATAACCAATGCCCTGAATCTTCACTCAAAAACTTCGAGATTAGTTAGGATAAGGATCTCATCATACGTATAGACTATCCACTGATTATTTGAATAAACCTATGTAAATAGCTAATTGTAATGAAAAGCGCGCGCCACACCATGAAAATTGGAACAGTTAGTGAGAAGTCATATCTAGGGTAAGTACGACATGGCCGCTGCCCTTGAAGACTACGAGAGCAGCATTAGGATAAAAACACCCTGTTCTATGACAATAGACAGCAACGGGTAGCAAGTTCTATGGTATTTGTCACTATTGATCGCCATTCTTGTAAGTTACAATGTACCCTGTTGTGTACAAGTTGTAACTATTGATATGACGATTTCTTCATCATCATAGCTCGAAAGGAACAGTATGTTCACGACCTCGACTTTGAAGGCGTTTCTGGTCTGTCGATCGAAGTGTATCAGATGGAAAAACCAGCCAGTAGATCCTCTTATCAGGGAAAAAACATTTTCCCATTTTTTCCAATATGGGAAATTTCCCGCAATTTTTCCCGGAATTTCCGGGAAATTTCCCATATTGGGAACAAGGTGCCATTATTCCCAAAATGGATAAACCCTGTGTCGAGTTCACTAGTAATAGCAGAACGATCTTGGTCACTGCAGTTCTCCTCTCGACGGACTACAGGGCAAGCGAGATTCGTGCATGCGTGTGCGAGCAAACCCCCGTCCCCGGAGCACGCATATGCCATCACGGCATATATTGAGGCTTTGGGTGAACCAGGTTCCCAACATCCAGTCGAAATTCTTGGATCAAGAAGGACACTGCGCTCAATTCCAGCCTGATGTAGTGTTTTGAGACATGTCGCGATAACAGTAAGCCAACTCCTAAGTTAGGGGTCCTAACTAATACACGGTGTGTATTACACGCATGTACATAGGGTGACACACAACATCGTAGGTCCACCTCTCAAGGGCTCTATGAAGTTTCACATGAGTACGCATGTGTGGCTTGAGTAAGCCACGCGGTACTCCGTATTACATAGTACTCCGAGTACCCAAACACATAGCTGAGGCCCCGATGCATCATGCACTGAGAGGGCAGTGGCGATGGGAGGTACATCCATTACAGTTGAAATCATTTGTGTAACTCAAATGTTGGCCTTTCAACTACTCCTCGCAATTGTAGCTGCCGAGTACGGCGGATCTCAGGTGAAGGACATGTTCGAAGCCTACAAAGAGAAGTAAGGGTCACCTCACTGGCCGGTTATCACATACGAAAGTATTTTCGTGTGGCCAGATTTGGACACAACTTCGGTGCACAAGACGGTTTCCGTATGAAAATTTTTGCAGATAACCTCCGCTACATAGAGGAGGAGAATGCCAAAGGTGGGGTCATCTGGTTGAGGATACCTATTCAAGTTGACGTAAGAATACCACCTGCAGGTCTGCCCTACAAGCTCAAGGTGACTCCATTCGCTCATCTGACCAATGCCGAGTTCAGAATGACCAGACTCGGGACAATGCCGAAGAGTAGAAGCTTCACGGGTAGCATCAATCATCGCAGCTATTCCTCTTTTACTGATCCTGAAGATCAGATCCTCATCTACTGCGCAACTCTTCCTTCAGGAAACGGAGCAAACACCGTTGGTTATGAGGGCTCCATTGAAGAGCTTCCCGCAGCTGTCAACTATGTTGCCAAAGGCTGGGTTACGGGTGTTAAAGATCAGGGCATTTGTGGAAGTTGCTGGGCCTTCTCAACTACTGGTGGGATACTTTTGCTGGCCCGCGCTGATAACTTTCGAGGTTATTGTCAACAGGTGCCCTTGAGGCTCTTCACAAGAATCTTACTGGGGAGCTCGTGCCACTCTCGGAGGAGCAGTTACTCGACTGCAGCCTGTCTTATAGGAATCAGTAAATACCTCTATCGTAGCCTGCTTGTATATGATTCCTCGACACTTCAGGGGGTGTATGGGTGGATGGATGTTCGACGCATTCGAATACGTGGCGGATCACGGTATCGATTCGGAGAAGGATTATCCATATAAATCAAAAGCCATTCCATTCATCCTTCCGATTCATTATCCCTGTCAGCACAATCATACGGCCATAATCGCAGTGAGTTGAGCAATGCTATCCGCTGAGCTTTTGATCCACCCAATCCTCAGCCCCATTCCATACGCTATGTGAACGTGACATCCTCAAAGCCCGCCCTTCTGGCAGCGATAGCCTTGAGTGGGCCAGTCAGTGTCGCCATTGATGCGGGATCGAGTGCTTTCCAACTTTATGGCGGAGGGGTTCTGAATTGTACGGTGATATGATACTGCCATGCTCCCATATGGAACGCTTTCCGCTTTCAGCTTCGTGCAATACGACATTGGATCATGGCGTTCTCGCAGTTGGCTATGACTTGGAAGCACCTGAGCCGTGAGTTCATCACTCATCATGAGCGATCGCACTCGACGAGTCAATGCGCTGATCAGTTACTATCTTGTAAAGAACTCGTGGGGAGCTACATGGGGCGACGAAGGTTACATCAAGATGGCCATTGACGATTCACCCAAGGGTGAGTCCACACCTCCGACGCAGTTTAAAGTTCTCTCTCTCGTAACCAGATGGTATTTTCAGGTATCTGCGGCATTTTGCTCGCTGCGAGTTATCCCATTGCAGCTTGAATGATCCACTAGCCATCTGCTGCGCCTAGCCCAGTGAGGAATTCAGAGCGGACGCTCGTCAGCAGTTTCATGAAGTTTCCCGTGATGGCTTATCATTCACAAGAGGAAGCACCCAATAGATATTCCTCGTGGATCAAGCGCCCTCCTTATTATTTCGTTAGGTCTCAAGTAGCTGTGCTTGAAGTTGTTTTTTTGTTATTTGAGAGTTATGACTGAAGAAACTTCGCGATACTTCAGTCTATACTTTCAGATCCTCAGCTCAGCGCGAATTTTAGATGTGCTCGCTGTGGGAGATTCAGGGTGCTTCATAGTCCGCACGCGCGCACATAGTCCGTGACGCGTTCCTTTTTTTTCTCACTTGTTGACGCGTACATCATGACAGATAGTTGATTTCTTAGCAGCAAATAGCTGCAAGTAGGATGAATGGTGAGAGCCAGAATTTCTCTATTTCATTGAGTCCATCATGGCATCGAGTTCTGCAGTCGTAGGAGCACAAATTCCAACACTCGCCATAACTAACACTCTCCAAACAACCCGCCGGAGATTGTGTTCATCGCACGCGAGGTTACGGTTGGCCGCCAACCGTTGGCGTGGTCCATCCAGTTCAGCGAACTGGGCTCACTGACTTTTTCTCTACTCGATTATATCAGACAAGGTCGCTACGCGATGATCCGGATTAGAGATTGAATCTTGAACAATTATTGATCCAATCTGGCACAAATGCACCAACAAAAACAGTATGCTGCGGAAGCAACCAACTCCGTCTGAAATTCTTGTGGTTATATTACCTGATCTATGATGTCGAGGAATATAGGATAGAGAAACTTGATCGATCAATGACACGAGGCGTCACAGAGTCGTCACGCCAATATTTAGTTGCAGAAACTATGTTTCTGTCAAGCTGTTGCTTGGTCGAGACTCATAGTAGATAACACGAGTCGGAAGGAGTTGAAAAGCTCTTCTTAGTCTTAATCTATTCGGGGGGATAGGTGATTAGCTATGCACACACGTGCAATCGCGCACAATGGGTAGAAGCAGTAACACTTTCCCCTCCGAAGGAAGTCGATCGATAATGGATAGTACTATAAACTTGATTGTGAGGTGAATGAGTTATTGGTATGATGGTATAGAATAGGGTGAAATGAAATGACGATGAGGAGCTTTGAGCTTGTTCTTGAGGAAGGTGTTCAGGAGATAGTAGACGAAGACAGGTCTTGCACGTTTACGTCCTCGTACACCGTAGAATGAAGTTGCAGTATTGGTGAGAGCAGTGTTGTCAGCTGGGACAAGTTTCCCATCAGTGACAAGTTTGGTGAGACGGTCGGAGACTTCCTGGCGTAAATCATCATCAGCAGCTTTCCATTTCTTGTGGATGTGCTTCTCGTGAGATGTGATTGATTGGGCTTCTTCACGAGTTTGTATTGAGACATCAGCAAGAAAACGTGGACCGTTTGAAGTTTGGACTTGGTACACTCGGAACCATGATCCGTCGTAGATAATGTGGAGAACTTCGTAATCTAGAGCTGCATAGAGATGGTCATTTGGGGATGAAGTGATTGGTGTCGGGGATGGACATGTTGTAGTAGGTGATGAAGTTATCTCGTCAGGAGTAATTTGTGACGGCTTAGTCGTAGTAGTAGTCGTAGTCGAGATAGTATTCGTGATAGGGTTGAGGTAAAAGTTGTTGTTTTGTTGAGCTTTGAGACCAATGACCATATCGATGGACGCTGGTAGAGGGTCTTCAGAAATCAAGAAGTTGGTAGAGTGGTTGATGGAGTTGCCTTCGAATGACCAAGTAAGAGGGATATAGTGAGTGTAGTTGACAGTTGTTGCATTGAGACATGTAATAGTAGTTGGCGGTTGTAGAGGTTGTAGCTCACGTAGAGCAGAAGGTGGTATTTTGGTTTTGTTGATGATCGAGTCGGTACAGCCAGTATCGATCATAGCAGTTAGAACTTGGTAAGGTAGAAGTTGAAGAATAACATGCTTGATGGGGATATCATGTTGGTCGGATATAGAAGCCAGGCCTGTTGATGTTGTTGGTTGAGTTGATGTTGTAGTGGTAGTTGATGTTGGACGAGAGTCTATAGTAGATGTAGGAGGGGTAGTAGTCATATCTTCGGGTTCATGTAGTCTGAAGCACTTGTCGCCGAAGAGGCATCTTCCTCGTTGATAGTTGAGGCAAACTTGGGACTTCTTCTGGCTGGTGTCGTCCGTCGTCGTAGAGGTAATCTTCGCTGCAATGTTTGTAGGAGAATGTTGGGGATGGCTATGTTCATAAGATGTCACCCAGTCGATAGTCTCTGTGAGAGTGACTTTGTTGGTGTTAGGGTAGACCGTGCTGAAAGCATTTTGGATATACTTGGGTAGAGCTTTGATGAAGGCTCGTTTGAGAGCGCTCTCGTGAATATCCTGGTTCATACAGGAAGCATCAAAGTGAACAGCATTGAGAGTAGACTGAGCTTGTTCAGCTGTTGAGTTAGGTGGGATAGAGTCGAGTCGTTGGTAGAGATTGTCGAGTGAGTTAGTGAGCTCGAACGTAGTCAATAACCAGTGCTCGGCAGCTATAAGCTTCTCACCGTAGGTAGCTCAGCTACCGTAGCTGTGCTCAAGTTGTGCTGTCGTAGGTGAGCATGTAGATCACGAGATTGGCCTTCAGAGAGAGCCTTGAGATTGAGATACTTCCAGAGTCCACCTGCATCTAGGTTAGCCATCTCTGCAATGTCGGCGATTCGGCGGATATAGGCAGCTATAGGGCGTTGATCTTGTCGACCGAGCCACGCTTTGTTGTCGGGAGCGTTGAGGGTCATGGGGTTGGTAGCTGTTAGGGGGTGAGGGGCTTGAGAGTTTTGAGATGAAGCATCGACAAGGACAGGTGGTGGACAAGGAGTAGTGGATGTTGTAGCAGTAGACTTTGAATCAGAACTTGTAGTAGTAGTAGTAGTAGTAGTGGTAGATGAAGGTTGGAAGTGTCTAAGAGCTTGTTGGAACTTGACACGGGTAGGTAGGTCAAGAGGGTGTATTTGAGAGTAGTTCAAGAGATCAGTTTCGGTGACGAAGTAGAGGGAGTCCAAGTCAGGAAGGCTTAGATATTTGAGGAGTTCCTCAAGAGCTTGTGGGGAGTTAGTAGGAGCCTCAATAGGGTCAGAAGGTGTCTGGGCACCATTTGTTGCTTGGTCGAGACTCATAGTAGATAACACGAGTCGGAAGGAGTTGAAAAGCTCTTCTTAGTCTTAATCTATTCGGGGGGATAGGTGATTAGCTATGCACACACGTGCAATCGCGCACAATGGGTAGAAGCAGTAACACAAGCCATCACTTGCGCGCTACCGTAACATGTAACACAGGAGAGTTGATGCCTTGGCATGATTCTCGAACCTTCACCGTTGCTCCAATGTACTGCGCTGTATCTTCATAGTTAGGCGACTCATGGTGAAGGGGCAGCTGGGTGGTATTATAGGCATTTTCAGAAGTCCACATCTCCCACTAAGACGGTAATATCTTCGAGCCTCGAAGTTCGAGGACTGGGTGATCTCGGATGTGAGTAGCGATGCATGGCTACAGGACTACTTTGACGCCAACCCGGATCCTGCCTGACCAGGAGCCCGTTCAAGTGCTCAACCGTTCCGAGTTCCGAGTCTTAGTAACTAGCTCCGAGTTCCGAGTTCGAGTCCCCCGAATCCGAGTCCTCCGAATCCGAGTACATCTCTGTTCAAGTGCAACAGCTCGGAAAGGAGGGTATTCCGGAATGATTGGCCGAGTACTCGGCCCGTGTTACTACTCACAGTGTTTAAGTGCATTTTCTCTTTCCCAGGAAGTGCTCGGAACGTCATCCCTCACTAGGTCCTAGTGACTAGGAAAACTGCCCTTCACTAGTTGATTTGCCGGGAAGCCAACTCAAGGCCTAGTTTCGCTCAACCTGTTACAAATAAGTCATTCGAAATAGAACACGCAAAATTTACCCCGACGAGGGGCTGGAATCACCTACATCAGAGTCAACATCTTCTGCTTGCTCGGCCCTGTGTACGATCAGGAAGCTGCATATTTCTTTCTTTTGTGAGGAGTACTCGTCATTATGAGCAGTATTCGGTACTCAACGCATTTCTTCCGAGACAAATGCAATGGGGTAGACTTATTCTTGACTAAGGAAGGACACTGGGCTCAAGCTGGGGTTGAACCCCAGCCTGATGTCGTGAGACATATCGCGATAACAATAAGCCAACTCCTTCGATACATAGCGTGTATTACACGCATGCACATAGGGCGGCGCACAACATCGTAGGTTCACCTAGTACTTTGTAAGAGCTCAGGGATACGCATATGCGAGTTGAGGAAGCCACGGGGTACTCCGTAGTACCTAGTACTCTGATCACCCGAGCACATAGCTGAGGCCCCGATGCATCGTGCACTGGGAGGACAGTGGCGATGGGAGGTACATCCATTACAGTTAAAATCATTTGTGCAACTCAAATGTTGGCCTTTCAACTACTCCTCGCAGTTGTAACTGCCGAGTACGGCGGATCTCAGGTGAAGAACATGCTCGAAGCCCACAAATAGAAGTAAGGGGTCACCTCACTGCCGGTTATCACATATACGAGAGTACTTTCGTGTGGCCAGATTTGGACACAACTTCGGTGCACAAAACGATTCCCGTATGAAGATTTTTGCAGATAACCTCCGCTACATAGAAGAGGAGAATGCCAAAGGTGGGATCATCTGACTAATTCTTGGCTAAGGAAGGACACTGCGCTCAAGTTGGAGTTGAACCCCAGCCTGATGTCGTGAGACATATCGCGATAACCATAAGCCAACTCCTTCGATACATAGCGTGTATTACACGCATGCACATAGGGCGGCGCACAACATCGTAGGTTCACCTAGTTCTTTGTAAGAGCTCAGAGATACGCATATGCGAGTCGAGGAAGCCACGGGGTACTCCGTAGTACCTAGTACTCCGAGCACCCGAACACATACATAGCTGAGGCCCCGATGCATCATGCACTGGGAGGACAGTGGCGATGGGAGGTACATCCATTACAGTTAAAATCATTTGTGTAACTCAAATGTTGGCATTTCAACTACTCCTTGCAGTTGTAACTGCCGAGTACGGCGGATCTCAGGTGAAGGACATGTTCGAAGCCTACAAGGAGAAGTAAGAGGTCACCTCACTGCCAGTGGCCGGTTATCACATATACGAAAGTATTTTCGTGTGGCCAGATTTGGACACAACTTCGGTGCACAAGACGATTCCCGTATGAAGATTTTTGCAGATAACCTCCGCTACATAGAAGAGGAGAATGCCAAAGGTGGGGTCATCTGGTTGAGGATACCTATTCAAGTTGACGTAAGAGTACCATCTGCAGGTCTGCCCTACAAGCTCAAGGTGACTCCATTCGCTCATCTGACCAATGCCGAGTTCAGAATGACCAGACTCGGGACAATGCCGAAGGATAGAAGCTTTACCGGTAGCATCAAGCATCGCAGCTATTCCTCTTTTACTGATCCTGAAGATCAGATCCTCATCTACTGCGCAAATCTTCCTTCAGGAAACGAAGCAAACACCGTTGGTTATGAGGGCTCCGTTGAAGAGCTTCCCGCAGCTGTCAACTATGTTGCCAAAGGCTGGGTTACGGGTGTTAAAGATCAGGGCGTTTGTGGAAGTTGCTGGGCCTTCTCAACTACTGGTGGGATACTTTCGCTGGCCCGCGCTGATAACTTTCGAGGTTATTGTCAACAGGTGCCCTTGAGGCTCTTCACAAGAATCTTACCGGGGATCTCGTGCCACTTTCGGAGGAACAGTTACTTGACTGCAGCCTGTCTTATGGGACTCAGTAAATACCTCTATTGTAGCCTACTTGCATACGCTTCCTCGACACTTCAGGGGGTGTCAGGGTGGATGGATGTCCAACGCATTCGAATACGTGGCGGATCACGGTATCGATTCGGAGAAGGATTATCCATATAAATCAAAATTTATTCCAATCTTCTTTCCGATTCATCTTCCCTGTCAACACAATCATACGGCCGTAATCGCGGTGAGTCTAGCAATGTTCATCCGCTGAGCTTTTGATCCACCCAATCTTCAGCCTCATTCCACACGCTATGTGAACGTGACATCCTCAAAGCCCGCCCTTCTGGCAGCGATAGCCTTGAGTGGGCCAGTCAGTGTCGCCATTGATGCGGGATCGAGAGCCTTCCAACACTATGGCGGAGGGGTTTTGAATTGTACGGTGACATGATACTGCCATGCTCCCATGTGGAACGCTTTCCGGTTTCAGCTCCGTGCAATACGACATTGAATCATGGTGTTCTCGCAGTTGGCTATGACTTGGAAGCAATTGAGCCGTGAGTTCATCACTCATCATGAGCGATCGCACTCGACGAATCAATGCGCTGATCAGTTACTATCTTGTAAAGAACTCCTGGGGAGCTAGATGGGGCGACAAAGGTTACATCAAGATGGCCATTGACGATTCACCCAAGGGTGAGTCCACACCTCCGACGCAATTCAAAGTTCTTCCTCTCGTAACCAGAAGCTATTTTCAGGTATTTGCGGCATTTTGCTCGCGGCGAGTTACCCCATTTCAGCTTGAATGATCCACTAGCCATCTGCTGCGCCTAGTCTAGTGAGGAATTTAGAGCGGCCGCTCGTCAGCAGTTTCATGAAGTTTCCCGTGATGGCTTATCATTCACAAGAGGAAGCGTGCTGCGTCCAATAGATATTCCTCGTGGATCAGACGCCCTCCTCATTCTTTCGTTAGGTCTTAAGTAACTGTGCTTTGAAGTTAATTTTTTTCCTGTTATTTGAGAGTTATAACTGAACAAACTTTGCGATACTTCAGTCTATACTTTCAGATCCTCAGGTCAGCCCGAATTTCTGATGTACTCACTGTGAGAGATTGAGGATGCTTCATAGTCTGCACACGCGCAAATAATCCATGACGCGTTGCTTTTTCTTCCACTTGTTGACGCGTACATCATGACATATAGTTGATTTCGTAGCAGAAAATAGCTGCAAGTGGGATAAATTTTGAGAGCCAGAGTTTCTCTATTTCATTGAGATCATCATGGCATCGAGTTCTGCAGTCGTAGGAGCACAAATTCCAACACTCGCCATTACTAACGCTTTCCAACCAACCCGCTAGAGATTGTGTTCATCGCACGCGAGGTTACGGTTGGCGTGGTCCGTCCAGTTCAGTGAACTGAGCTCACTGGCTTTTCTCTACTTGATCATCTCTCTTGCTCTCGGCCGTCTTCGGCCAGGCGACAAACCAACAGCTGATGTCATCAGCCTGATGACAAGTCGGCTTGTTTATAAGGACCTTATAAACGAGTACGTGATGAGTACGTCGACCTGGTCGACGTACTCAGCTCAAGGAGACCAGCACTTGACTGAGTTTTTTTTTCTCATCTCGGCCTCAAAGCTTTAATCCTTCTTTCCCAGAGGACTCGGTACTGAGCATCTCCTCGCGATAAATTCGCCACCCTCAGATTCTCTGCTATGAGATCCATCCAATCTTCCCCTCCTTGCCGCTTATCTGAGCTCCCAAATGATATGCCGGATCCCACAACAGTAGTCTGTCCACTAAAGATGCGGGGGGAGGGGGTGTTCTAAGGATGTGGCCGTACCAACGCAAGCGACGCATTCTATGGACTATGTGACAATCGGGGCAACCAGACCTACTCCAAATTTCGCGGTTTGTGGTGTGCGACAAAGGCAATATTTGCAACACCCTCTGTATACACTTGTTGTAGAATGCACAGTATTTCTTCGTCTCATCTTTGCCAAAGACAAAGCACTCGCTAGCATGTAATAAAATCGAGAATACCACAACTCGAAGAATAATGAACTTCTGCCTCAGGCTTACATCATGCGAGTTTCAAACTTTCTCGAGTCTTGCTATTCTTTGCCCCGCAAGTTGCATGCGCCTACGAATATGGGTTTCATTATCCCGTTTGCCGTCGATTATGGCACCGAGGACACTCAATTTATCAGTTCATTTGATCCTGGGCTTTTCCGAGCTGCCTTCCTTACTCGCGTATTTGGTCTAACTCTGTACTTAGCGTATAATCTTGTACAAAGTTGATAATCAAGTAGCGCCATGCTATTTCGGGGCATGCTTGTTCCCCTTGTTTCGGAGCAGAGGGATTGGTATTCTTGGGTATTTCACTCTAACTTGGTGATTGCTTCTAAATCATCTCAAGCCTTCAAAGAACTTCACGAATGAACCGGGCCGCTCTTCTCGGCTTCTTCGACTCCTTGCGGTAATCGTTCCCCAAGGGTGATCACGGAAATTACGTTCTCACTCAGAGACAACGCAAACCACCACACGGCATGATGAAACCCAATTGTACAGTTTTAAAGCTTGAGAACATGCAGGTGATTGTGACTTCACCCTGAGGGGAGCTATCGGCTCCTCTTAGAGTGTGCGCATGAATCGGGCACTGCCTCCGCTACTTATCAGCAGCTCGATGACGAAACCGACGAAGGGGATAACGTTACGTTCGACATCCCTCCCGATCCATTCTGATCCACGCTACCGCTCTCTATGCTCGAGGACTTCGAGGTCGAGGTGCACGCAATTGAAATTTTGTCAGTGACCGATGCAGCATGAACAGTGGCAGAACTTTCCGAAGTATGAGATTCTGAGTTCACGGACACCCCAGATTCTGCAACCGACCACTTATCTATCGGGCTAGTGCAGACGCTGTACTCGCAGACTGCTGATCCTCTAGCACTGGCTTCACTCCATACGCTCCCATGGTGGCATTGCTGCTCTAAATTCTTTTCCTCGGGCCGAGAGCAAGGGTACGAACGGTTCGTCTCATGTCGGTTAGGCAGGGATACCTCGCTTATGGTACTGTGGCGTTCACCCTTCTCCGAACTCGCTTCTGCTTCACTCCAACAGCTATTGACATCCATGTGAGGATTTGACGGCGCTTTTCCCTTGCCTGCTGCAGAAAATCCTAAGTAATGACGGTGACGACGGCTTCAGAAACAATGCCAATCATTGACACGATCGATATCGCTGGCTGTAGTACTTGCAGTTTTTGGGGGCCGCGGTGTGTTCGAAACGTGTAGTCTTCCTCGGTAGCGGGAAGGAGGTCCTGTTCGGACTGTCGGCAGCAAACGACCGTCTCGGAGATACCTATGGAATTGGATTTGCATTACGCGGACGCGAAGCCAAACTTACAGAGGTTTCCCGTTTAAATTATTTCCACACAGTACCCGTGTTGACAGTAAATCCAATCCCGACTTTCTTTACAGGTACAGGCACATACTGTTGAATTACAATCCCTTTCTGGGTCATTGAAGGTTCTCCCTTCGTCCACGGTCTCATGAAATGTCGTGAGATAGTAAGGGAAGCAACGATCCATCAGCTCGTCCAGTGGTAACTTTCCTGAGCGGTCACTGCCTGAAATTGATTACATGTCATTATCCAATCATATATCAATCCGCAATTGTGTTGTCAACCGATCCCACTGATACATATTCCGATCATACCAAAATCGTCATGCAGTAGCGTCCGTTAAAAATCGGTGACAGTGTGCTCCTCTCGGTTCCGATTCCTCCCCAGCACGCCGACGGTAGGAAAAATGAAGTATCGAGTACTGGGGTCTCTAGAGTCCAGAAGCTCTTCTACAAGCTCTGTTACCTGAAAACCGTTGCGTTCCGGCAACAGTCCGAGTATCGGCTAAGCCCGTGGAGGCATCGTATTCATTCCCAATATTCTCATGATATGACATGATGTCAGTACCTCAGTGAACTTCACTGAGTGAAGCTGTGATTTTCAGCCATCGTCGTACCTCGCACTTTCATGTCGGGCTCATAGTCTACGACGCCGATTGCTTCGGACCGAGTGATGAAGTTCCCCGATACAAACTTGGGAGCTGTTTTCAGAACCTGGGTGAAATTGAAATATCCCCCACCCAGTTCAGCTTAACTCATGATGATTCAGCTGACTTACACTCTTTATTTTCCTCACGAACTTCGATATGACAAACTTTTTCCGATTTAAACTATAAGTTATGGTTTTGTGAAAAGTTTCCACGATATTCGTGAGTACCTATGATTCAGTGCTTGCAATTGAACTAAGCGACGATTTACTTGTGTCCGCCTTAATCCATCGCTATCCAAATGAATGTTCGGATACCCGAGACGGTCGGCATTAAGGGTCGTCTCGAGATATTGCGCGCCAGCTGTTGATGATTCCCTCACTTCGTCCGTCAGAGCTTCCGCTAGCCGATTGTAAATGGCGTCGGTCGGTGAAGCATGCAACGCGAATACATGATCCAAGACCTATGGATATTTGGAACTCTGCAACATACGTAAAGTTCCTGTTATGAACTGGTGCAGTCACTCAACAAGCTAGGCTCACCAGCTTCTGCACTTCCGGCTCACCGAGTTTCTTCTTGTTATCCTTCACATTCTTCACTAAGTGGAAGTAACAGCGTGCTAAGAACCAGGAACATCAGTCAGTTGTCGTGTTCTGTTTATGATTAGTACTATTCCTGACCCCAGGCAGCCGATCGCGACAGGCGCTGATTGCGCCTTGGTGAGCGTCGTGATTACATTGGGTTACGACATCTCGCAGATGCTTCTGGCCGCCACTGAGCCGATGAACTAAGTTATCAAGTTCGTCGAGGATGGCGGAATACACGTCCGCCGATTCCTCATCCACAATCGCCCAAGCGAATGGAATAAACGAATATGTACGTTTTTTGTGTTGTCCGTCATACCTGCGCAAAAAACGCTCCCATCCCGTGTCCATTGGTCAGCAGCAAAGCGCTTTCAGGAATGTTACTAGCGATTGCCAGTAGGCTGTTGGCAGCAGTTCTTACCTAAGCCTTGATCCTCCAATCCAAATGTCTTTCAGCGCGCTTCGGATGAGTTTATTTTGCCCATCCATATATAATGAAAAACCTTCCGATTTCTGTTCCAGAAAGGCAGCGAGCGAAGTCATCATATCTGTTGAGCACGACGAAACTAATCACCTCTGGCGGACTGCTCGCAGCTTTCCCAACCAAATCTCACCAGTGCTTGACAAGATACAGGCAACGTATCTCTGGTTCCACATCACTGCCGACCTTCGAACTTGCCGCTGGTTTCGAATTGCCGTCACACGTTCATCGCTGATTCGACAGTCTTCGAAGTGTTCAGCAAGATCTTGGTAATCAACCAAGCCTTTTCTCAACTTCTTGTTATACGCCGAGACCATTTCAGTAACCTGAGAGCGGTTCAGGTTTTATACTGTCGGATTCACTGAGACTTGTTATGAAACCCTGACAATACCACCACATGATATTCTAAGCTCAAGAGTCTTGAGCTGAGACGCAGTCTTCCATCGGAGAGCCCGTATTCTGTTCTGGTCGGGTATCTTTCAATTCGGTATTCAAATCTTTCAAATCTTTCGGTATTTTTCAAAAGTCAACCAAATGTGCCCTGAGTATCAGGCTTTGATTGTCCAAAGGGCACATTGTGATATATATGAAAAGCACGCTTGGCGAACGACCATATATCCCGAAAGTTCCCATCTGTCAATACCCGGATTCCCGCGATTGAGATCGCTAGAACTCGGCGAAACAGAACCCTGAAACATCGAGCTGAATGAACTTTCGATTGTGAGAAGATCCCCGGAAGTAGAGCTGGGAGAAAATATGCTGTGTAGTAATGGTCGCAGCTCCTTCCCCGTTAATTGACGACTGAGTACTAGACATAGGGTTGTAGTGGAAGTAGTAGTTAGTAGAAGATTAGTGAGTTAAGGGTGAGAGAAGTTAAAGAGACAGAGCGACACAATAGCGGAAATCGATCGTCCAATCCCTTCATGAGGGATTTCCTCATAAGGGGACAGCGATTGTGTTACTATCCACGTATCAACGTGGGGTGTCGGAGGAGATGGGACAGGCTGTCCCGGACAGTTGTGTTACCGAGCGGGAGTTTCGCTACAGCTGGACCAAAGAGCTACTCATTCAAAATTATTTCCTGAAGAGAAACCGAGGTGCTACTTTTCCTCCCTCCTTCTCGACCATATTCGACAGTACAAGAGTTGTACTGCGTGAGCAACGACTCCTTTATCAGGACACTGTAAACTTCACCAGCAGATAACTCGTGCTGCTTCACCTCGCGACTCTTGAACGGAGGTTTGGATGAAGCTATGCCACTCCGTTTCTCAGAATCAGTCGACTTTTCATCGCCTGTATGCGTGACGATAAACTTCAAATTGCAAGTATTTTGGCAAAGACTCTCGACCCTAACCAGACGTCCCGTTCCATCAGGTCCAAGGCCAACTGACACGCTGCGTGTCACACGCATATTAGTCTCGTAGACTTCTTCATCTTGAACGCACGATTCTGCTCAGACAACTTCTCCGCTTCTCCACGCTTCCTATTCCTCTTCGGCGTCGACATAACGGCAGAGCTGGATGATGCTTGAGTGTCTTGGAAGAACCGCGGTATAGTCGACCTTTCCGGGCGCGATGACTCACCGGACTGAGGAATCTACGGAGAGTTAGCTTTCCAACCGGTGAAAATCCATATAGAGCTCACCGTTGCATCATCATGTGAGGTCCCCGTCGCGGGCTGACTACCAATCACAGAAGGCACTCGCGACTTTTCCATCCGATTCTCGAACTTCCGCAGCTTCGATTCCTAATCAAGCGTACTACTAGCAGTACTAGTAGAGCTAGTAGTAGAACTAGTAGTATAGTAGTAGTAGTAGTAGTAGTAGTAGTAGTAGTAGTAGTAGTAGTGGTAGTAGTAGTAGTAGATACATGTTGATGATCCCGACCAGGCGGCCAGGGCAAGCGCATTAAGTACCACGGGCCATGCGGTAAAGATGCTTTCGGGTACTCCTCACCCTACGCCTCACCCCTCTCCTCAACAGACTCCTCAGATCTCATTATTCC